CCCTTTGTGCTCCTCCTTTACTGGGTTCGGGTTCGAGGCCACATCAGGCTTACCCGGACAATCTAGCCAGAGCTCCTTGTGCCTGGGCCCCGCACTGCCTGCCCCCAGGAAGGGCCGTGCCCCCATGTTGTCCAACACCCAGGAGGTGGGGCGGGTGGGCGTTGGGGAGGGGCTTTCTGCTTGACTGTTTGGGAGAGGAAAAAGCATCTTCAGACTGTTTTCTTGGTTTATTGGTTGTCTCCTGCCAGAAGTGCTGGTGGTGGCGGTGGGTGGCGTCCACTGCCTTTGGCATCTTTGGGCTGGGTTTGGTTTTTGGTGCTGGCCAAATTTGGGTCCTTGGGTGCAAGTAGGTCCCAAGGCACCAGCCTACAATTTTGTTTCTGGCCATGTTACGATTTAGCCCAGTGCCTAGTAGGGTTTCTTTTGAGCCACCTTTGGGCCAAAGGTCTCAGAATGCATTGCCCACTGGTATTGAGGTGTTGTCTGGAGGGGTCCCCTCTCACACACACTTATCATGGAAGCCCCTTCTCCCTGAGACACACGATGTGGGGACACGCTCCCTGAAGGCCCCTTTTGGAAACACCTCTGTCTTCTCCACATTTGGCTTCTCCCAGAGGGGGGCCAGGACCTCCCCCTGCTCCTATGACCAAGTCCTGCTGAGACTGGACAGCTGGGCCAGATGCCTGCCCTCCCTCTTGCCAGGGGTCCCTTCTAGCCCAGGTGACACCTGCAGCCTCGCTCCCACATCTTGGACCCCAAGGTGGTGGGCAAGGGGGAGGGGCTGGGGTCCTGAGGCTGCCCCTTTCTCTCACCGATGTCTTGGGGCCTGGCCACTGCCCAGGGTGGACAGTGTCCCCTGGTGTCCTCCTGTGCGAACCGTGGTGTTGGTGGAGAAAGCTGGCACCTGCCCGTTCCATAGATCCGAAGTTTACAGGTTGTGGTGCATCAGCCCAAAGTCATTGGCGTTGTTTTGAGATTTTTTCTTAATTTTCAGATTTTTTTTAAACAAAGTATTTTTTTAGGTACGATAACCCAGAAAGGGCCTGTTGGGTGTGTATGTATGTCCTGAGCTCCCCATGTAGAGATGGAGCTACGTCCCATTGCTCCCCCTCAGCCTGGAGATGGGAGGGGCAGAGGGAGGGAGGGAGCGGACCCACCACCCAGCTCGCCTGTCCCAGGGTAGTGAGGACCTGGCCCCTTGCCCTGGGAGGGAGCCCAGGCCCAGGCCAGGAAGAAGGGGGCCAGGCTGGCCTGGGGTGGGTGCTCGGGGCCAGGTGGGAGAGTCCTCGGTGGAGGCTGAGTTTTGGAAGCTGAACACCCTCTGGAGTTGTGACTTGTCCGGTCCTCGCCCTCTGTGGCTGGGCCCGTGGGAGGGCTGACAGACTATAGCCGACACAATCACCTTTACTTTGTACTGTGTGTATGTATGTTTTGGTTTTCTGTGTTTTAATAAATCCTTTGGGAAAGGATTGAATCAGAGTGTTTTCCTAAGATAGTCTCACTGATTTAGGATGGGAGGAGCTGGGGGTGGGGAGGAAGGGTTGGG